CGAAGTGATGCAGGTCTCAGATGTTTACCACTTCGGTGAACCCACGAGCACGGGTATGGTGCTGACAAACCTAGAAACATAATCCGGGCGAACCGGGATTCGAACCCACAATCATAGGTTTCTGGCGTGCCTAAGGGACGCGACTCTGCACAGCGAATCGCGGCGCCTTAGACGACTGGACCACCCGTGCCCCCCTTTTCACTTTTGAAAATATAGTGTGGGCCGGCAGTGTCTTTTTTTGTTGTTGGTTGTTCCAACTATTCCTTGTATTCCTTCCTATATTGAATCGCATTGGTTTTAAACATGTATTTTACTGCCGGGTTGTGTCAGAGACTCCAAATCTAATAAAAACTAAACGTGTGGCGGACTTTATGATTCTGCAGGCGGTGCCTGAGAACCAAGACTGTTTTCTTTTTCAAGCCTTATCACGGGAGGTATTCTGCCCTGGTGATATTCCAAGGAATAATCGGTCTTTATGCTTGTTCAAAGACCTGCAGATTAAAATGATGGACATGTACAGATAACAAATAAAATGACATTCCAAATTGTACATATTCCATTAATATTCCAATAATAACATTCATACAATGACGCATATAAAACACAAAACAAACTCTCCATTAGTGACCTGTAAACAATGGACAACAGTGGATACTTCGAGCTGTGATGTTGTAATATGGGATACGGATTTAACATCTCTGCCATAATGTGACTGTTATGTGTTAAGCACGTTGCACTTTGTGTGAGTACGTAACGATTCACTTTGTATGAGTACATAATGATTCACTTTGTATGAGTACGTAACGATTCACTTCGTATGAGTACGTAATGATTCACTTCATATGAGTATGTAACGATTAACTTTGTGTGAGTACGTAACGATTCATTTTGTGTGAGTACGTAACGATTCACTTTGTTTGAGAATGTAACGATTCACTTTGTGTGAGTACGTAACGATTCACTACGTATGAGAATGTAACGATTCACTTTGTGTGAGTACGTAACGATTCACTACGTATGAGAATGTAACGATTCACTTTGTGTGAGTACGTAACGATTCACTTCGTATGAGAATGTAACGATTCACTTTGTGTGAGTACGTAACGATTCACTCCGTAAGAGTACGTAACAATTCACTTTGTATGAGAATGAGGGGTGTAATGGCATTCTTTGTCACATTGCCATACATGTCTTCAGTAAGTGAGAGAATAAATATGGTTTTATACGCCTTTTAGTAATATCACGGGGGCACCAGAAATATGATTCAGACAATGTGGGGAATCGAACCTGGACTTTCGGCTATACAAGCTAACGCCTCAAACAGTAGGCTAAGCCATCATCCGTACCTTGACACATCACCGCAACAGAGATGATACAATACATACAATGTGAGAGACGTGTTTCACCAAACAAAGGGAAGAAAAGATAAACGACGACTTGTGTAGATACAATCAGTGTTTTTGAATAAATGATACCATTTTGAATGTCCTTTTCAATATAAATACTTTTCATAAGTGAAATTTTACATTCTTCATTCTCATAGGAAATGTTACCCCCTCGTAAAGGGTGACTTGTAAAAACCTTCATAGTAGAGTTTATTATACTTGAGTTTATTAAAATTGCTAGCAAATTTTGGGAGCCATGCTTTACCGTGCGCTATAACCGAAGCGCGCAATAACGAGGAAAACTGTACGTAACAACTTTTAATGTGTGTGAAAAGTTATCCGAAAAAACACTATTTGAAGGGGGCGTGGCCTAAATGCAAAATTTTAATGTCCGATTTGGATTTAAATTTTCCGGACCCCTGCTTCATATCCAATAAAATGTTACACCCTCATATAAAGTAAAATCCTTCATACTCGATTTGATGTTACACTCTCGTACAAAGTGAATTGTAGAAACCGTCATTCTCATACAAAGTCTACACGAATACAACATGCAGACGAATGGGTTCTTGAATACCCAAGAACAACTTCCTGCTGCACTGGGATTATACAACATACGAAACTGTAACCATGGTAACAAATCTCCTTCAGAAACAATAATCTGTTATTTCCATTTAACATTAGGTCGTAGTAAACAAAAACGTGAGAGTGAATGAGTTCAGTCGAAAGCCTCTTCATATCACAAGGTGTTTGGGGGGATGCCAAAAAGACCCCCATGACCAGGTGCTGACTGACAAAGGATCGTATCTTGGCAACCAGGAGGTCATCATGTGACCTCTGAGTACAGCTAAGGGACACAACTCTGCAGAAAGACATGACACCATAGATCACTGTCATGGCCCCACAACATACATGAATGTTATGACAGGTGTTTGAAAACACCATGAAGGAAAAAAGTCCTAATAATAGTGTGGTTTCAGAATTCTATCAACTTATGGTAGGTAGGTCATTTTTTTCAAAAACATTTTTTGTTGAAACCCCGCACCCGTTCGAGAACTCCTTTTAGCGATGAATAGCAAGTACCACTTAAAAAAAGGACTAAAAAAATGATTGGCATTTTAAAATTATGGTCTAGCTGTCAGGTAATTGGAAACGTCCTTTTAAGGCCAAATGTGCCCTGGTTGTCTCACTAACATGGGTTGTCAATGGCAACAATTGTGACCAGTGATATTCTACATGCCAAATTACCCATGGTGCTGGAACAAAAATTTAAAATGTAAATGCAATAATAAAAATAATAATTGACTAAAGGAACTGAAATAATAGCTGTCACAACACAGAGACGAGGCAAAAATAACCTTTCAACACTCACGTGTCAACGATCTCAAGCAACAAGGATTGGACCATGTGACTTGGTGCTAGTTGGTGAAAAACTGTTCCAAGGTGTAGATAAAAAAAGCATGGGACTTGTCCAATTATCTGTATCTCAAGTTCATTCCATATTAACAGAAAAATTATGTTTTCAATCTTGAAAACTGCCATTTTAAACAGTGGATCAGTATTTTTATAGACTATAAACAAATATACCCTGTCTTAGCATCAGTTGTAACTTGATGTGCCTATCAGCAGAGGATTCTCCCTGTTCAGCGGCAAAAACTAACAGTTTTAGTCCACTAGTCTTTATAATGATAACATATAGTACAACCATTAAAAATGGCAAATTGCTGCTTGTCCTTAGGATACCTTAACTATCGGGCAGTTTGGCAAGGACTATAGAACTAGTGCCAATTTCTAATGCTGTTGTTTTGTCAGTGTCCAGGACGTTTTACCCACACATCTAATCAGCTGTTTGCCAAGATCTGCTGTGGAAACATATGTTGGCTTGCACACAGTTTCACACACAGCTGCTTTCAGACCCAGTCCCTCTTGACTTGAGGTTCATATACCTCTCTGAGAGACAAAGATTTCACAGAAATCATCCACATTGCCGAGGATTCCTTAAACTTTCATATTCATTGACAGAACAACTTGCTCTAGAACCAATTACAAAAGTAATCTTTTGTGCTACTTTCACTCATTTTAGACATGGAGGTGTCCTTTTCTTGAAATGGAAGCATTTAACTTCGAACATTAAAAAAAGCAACTTTCATTAAAGACTTGTAAATTCATGTAATTTCATATCTCTGTAACCATGGTAACAGCCTGGCCTTCTGAAAGTCAGTGAGACAAGATACAAGACAAGGGGACTATTTGTCTAGTGGAGCTATTGTCCTAACCCAGCTTACAGTCACTTCAGCTCAGAACCTTGAAATGATTCAGAAGCTAAAATTCTGAGTCCTCAACCTGCAGTTGGCTACCTACATCGGGAAGAACTCAGGATCACTTACCCTGTCGAAGGGGGAAGATTACAACATCTTACTGGAAGCTCTTGTCCCATCACTTGAATTATTTGTCGATTGTAAATAAACACATCTTAGGACTGCAAGGGATGCTGCTAAACAATCTTCAATTGATACGTATTGCAATTGTTTTCAGTCTTCCAGTACATAAGGTAAAAAATATATAAAAAAGTTTTGTTATTATTTGTACTGTTTTCCCTAAAATCTGCATGGAATACATTCACAAATAATGTTTCCCTTCTGAATTGATTGACATTAAATGTCTGAAACGCAGTAGTGATTTTTGTCTACTGTTGGTATCTCCCCTGTATCCATGACTACAAAATGGCAGCGACTGACCATGCTGAGTAATATTTACATAAATTTGCAATACTTATTCATGAATCTAATTATCTTGTTACTTCAGTACAGCAAAACTTATTTTCTAAAGCTTTTCTTCTGTTTTGTTGTTTAATGCCACACTCAGCAACATTCCAGCTATATAACAGCAACCTGTAAATAATCAAGTCAATCAAGTGATTGACATCATGAGCATCGATCTTTGAAATTGGGATACGATGACAAGCAACAACATAGTCACCACATCTGACTACCTGATTCTGTTAGTCTCCTAATGAGACAAACAGGGGTGAAGATCTATTCTAACCCTGATTCGCTGGTGCCTTTCTTCTAACAATTGCATGAAGTATAAACGTAAGAGTATAAGCATGTACACTGTTAATGACACCTAACTGCACATGTCACAAGTAACAAATGAAGAGAAGGCTCCGCTCAAGTTACCTCCCCTTCCCCGGGTTAATGCCCAAGCTCCTTCCCAGCGCGTGACACCTTCGTTACTCTCTCGGTAACTTCGCTGCCACCAGTGTGGGCGTGGCCATTACAAGAATCTTGAAATTTGCCCTCTAACCCCAAATGTAGTAACGTTGATACTTTTGTTTATGTCTTTGGGAATGCCATCATATTTCATTTTGAAAAGGTTTACGACTGACCATGTTTTCCAGATGAATTTACTTTATTATTTTAATAATCAGATTGGTTCGAGATTGCAGACTAACGGAAAATCAACCAACTTCTCCCTTACATTCTTACTATATCAATAACACGATAGTTTTAATGAAACAGAAATTCAAATTGACAAACGAAGAAAGTAATTCAGCAGCGATAAATGCATTCGGCGTCACGACAGTCATCACTTGTTTGTAAACATAACGGTCATTCGGTTGCGAGGTTCAACTCCAAGCATGGTTGTGGCCACCTATTCACAGTGGGGAGTTTTGACTGGTGGCAGCGATAGTATAGAGAGCTCCGCGAACAGGCTGTTGCTGTGAGGAGCTTGGGTCAATGCCATATAATAAACTCCTCCACAATATACTCCCTACTTTAGAAAACACATTCATACACTCAACATTTACCTGAACTCGTTTCCCTTTGGTTTCAGTTTTAAGGAAATTTAAGATTGCACAAATGAAAATGATGTATGTACAGATGACTCTGATGGTCACAGATGATGACTGCTGGACAAGTCACTGGCATGAAGACATGGACTGTTACTTGTGAGCAGATAATACATGTTCCAGGGCCTAGACACGGTTGCACGTCAGAAGTTGATGACACCAAACAAAGTTGGTACCATTTTTAGCCCATCAATTTGTGCTGCAATGGACATGCTATAGGCTTTCATCGTCTTTGTATTCTGCTCCAGCTTGTTCTCATAGTCCTGAAAAACAGAAAGTGTAAGTTAGTGCCCTTCCCCTGAGAGTGAGTGAGTGAGTGAGTGAGTGAGTGAGTGAGTGAGTGAGTGAGTGAGTGAGTAACAGAAACATCGCCTTCAACATCTTCCAGACAAAAGGGTTGGTTGGTTGGTTTGTTGTTTAACGTCGCACTCAGCAATATTCCAGCTATATGACGGCAGTCTGTAAATAATTGAGTCTGGACCAGACAATCCAGTGATTGACATCATGATCATCAATCCACGCAATTGGGATCGATGACATGTATCAACCAAGTCAGCGAGCCTGACCACCCGATCCCGTTAGTCGCCTTTTACGACAAGCACAGTCGCCTTTTATGGCAAGTATGGGTTGCTGAAGACCTATTCTACCCCGGAATATTTACGGTCCCCGACACAAGGGAGTTAACTGATTGTAAAAGTCCCGTTTCCAACCTTGCCGAACTTGGACGGAATTTCGTGGTTAGATTGCAGCTCCATCAGTGGCTATTACGTGTTATGTCCCTTACATGTCCCTCCTATTGACCAATCAGATTCCACCTTTCATATCATTTGCATTTGCGTAAGAAGAAAAGGTGCCCAGTCAAGATGATCTGATCAAGTTAATCGAAGAAAGGTTTCATATTCCCTGCCTCACAGACATCCAGTGCATGTGGATTGTAGCACAACACGGGAGCACCTTGATTTAAAACATTGAAATAATTTTGAAAATATCTGTTGACACCCAGTTAATGGTACACATGCTGTGCAAATCCTGTAATTGACCGAAGTCTGCATGTCAGTCGCCTTGCTGTTAACAAACAGGATGTCGATTTGGATTTGACCAAGCATAGACTTGTTAGTCCAGCCAAACTATAACTTTGAAATTCCAGCCTAGTTCCGCAAAGGAAACTGGACCTTTATAGTCAGGTAACACCCTGCCTTGCAAAGATGCGCCTTAGAGTCGCCAGATGGAAACTCAAATCACACACTGTACCCATGTGGAGAGATCAAACCCAAATCTTCCACATTATGAGCAAATGCTTTAACCGCTAGCCTCTATGAATGAATCTTGTCCACAAAATGAGAATTGACAAGAAGAGAAAAGAGTGAAAGTTTAACATCATCTGTGAGTTGTTTTTAAAAAAATAGTATCTAAAATCTAGAAACAGAATTCAAAAACAAGCTTCCCGGTATTCTGTACAGTAACAAGACTGCTTAGGCTTAAAAAAATAAAAGAATTGGTTTTCAGGTAGTGCCTTTTTTTGTTTTGGCTGTTCAAAACTAGTATGTAACCAATAAACAGTTGTGTAACCAATAAACAGTTGTGTAATCAATAAACAGTTGTGTAATCAATAAACAATTGTGTAATCAATAAACAATTGTGTAATCAATAAACAGTTGTGTAATCAATAAACAGTTGTGTAATCAATAAACAGTTGTGTAATCAATAAACAATTGTGTAATCAATAAACAGTTGTGTAATCAATAAACAGTTGTGTACAATCACCCTGGGAAAGGGCCTCCCTACATAAATGTATTCCTTGATGAGTAAAAGACTGGAATACAGTATTTGACTACCGTTGGACTTGGAATATTTAAGAATTTTAAAAATATTTTTTTTAAAGTGGAAATGACATGCGACAAACTTTATGATGTGCCTGAGAACCAAGACTATTATTATTTCCAGCCTTACTTACAACTCCAGTTTTGGACAACTTTCATACATGAAAGGCTATAATTGTTTGATAAGCTGAAAGAAGAGTCAGTTGGTTAAAATGTTACTTTGAAGCAGTTATATCACGGTGTGTCAGCTTGATGTGGAAGGAAAGCCCCAAGTGATGCAGGTCTCACGTTTACCACTTTGGTGTATACTTTGGGTATGGTGCTGACAAAACTAGAAATATAATTGGGGCGAACCAGGATTCAAACCCATGACTATAGGTTTCTGGCACGCCTAAGGGACGCAACTCTGCACATATATCAAATTGCAGTGCTTCAGACAACTGGGACACATGTGACCCTGGTAAATGCCCCGCCCACCTTGAGTGTCTGGATCTCCTTGCACATGTTCACATGGCCTTCTTGGGACGTCTTCAGGGCACGGCGCAGCGTCTTGATCTCTTGTTCCCGTTCTATACAGAAACATGTATACTCGTTATTCAGATAGATAAATACAAGCACTTAAATATGTGTACTAGAGAACTGTCATGAACGTGATAATTTTGTTGAAATTTTGTTGAAATTATCACCAAGAATCAGTCCAAGGTGAGTTTAATTTGTCATGTGACTTCTTTCCTACTTAATCCTGCCCAAGCACGTTGGTCAATTATGTAATGCCACAGTCAGCAATATTTCAGTTACATAGTAACCAGTAAGTTGGTCAATTATGTAATGCCACAGTCAGCAATATTTCAATTACATAGTAACCAGAAAGTTGGTCAATTATGTAATGCCACAGTCAGCAATATTTCAATTACATAGTAACCAGTAAGTTGGTCAATTATGTAATGCCACAGTCAGCAATATTTCAGTTACATAGTAACCAGTAAGTTGGTCAATTATGTAATGCCACAGTCAGCAATATTTCAGTAACATAGTAACCAGTAAGTTGGTCAATTATGTAATGCCACAGTCAGCAATATTTCAATTACATAGTAACCAGTAAGTTGGTCAATTATGTAATGCCACAGTCAGCAATATTTCAGTTACATAGTAACCAGTAAGTTGGTCAATTATGTAATGCCACAGTCAGCAATATTTCAATTACATAGTAACCAGTAAGTTGGTCAATTATGTAATGCCACAGTCAGCAATATTTCAATTACATAGTAACCAGTAAGTTGGTCAATTATGTAATGCCACAGTCAGCAATATTTCAATTACATAGTAACCAGTAAGTTGGTCAATTATGTAATGCCACAGTCAGCAATATTTCAATTACATAGTAACCAGTAAGTTGGTCAATTATGTAATGCCACAGTCAGCAATATTTCAATTACATAGTAACCAGTAAGTTGGTCAATTATGTAATGCCACAGTCAGCAATATTTCAATTACATAGTAACCAGTAAGTTGGTCAATTATGTAATGCCACAGTCAGCAATATTTCAGTTACATAGTAACCAGTAAGTTGGTCAATTATGTAATGCCACAGTCAGCAATATTTCAGTTACATAGTAACCAGTAAGTTGGTCAATTATGTAATGCCACAGTCAGCAATATTTCAGTTACATAGTAACCAGTAAGTTGGTCAATTATGTAATGCCACAGTCAGCAATATTTCAATTACATAGTAACCAGTAAGTTGGTCAATTATGTAATGCCACAGTCAGCAATATTTCAGTTACATAGTAACCAGTAAGTTGGTCAATTATGTAATGCCACAGTCAGCAATATTTCAATTACATAGTAACCAGTAAGTTGGTCAATTATGTAATGCCACAGTCAGCAATATTTCAATTACATAGTAACCAGTAAGTTGGTCAATTATGTAATGCCACAGTCAGCAATATTTCAGTTACATAGTAACCAGTAAGTCGGTCAATTATGTAATGCCACAGTCAGCAATATTTCAATTACATAGTAACCAGTAAGTTGGTCAATTATGTAATGCCACAGTCAGCAATATTTCAATTACATAGTGACCAGTAAGTTGGTCAATTATGTAATACCACAGTCAGCAATATTTCAATTACATAGTAACCAGTAAGTTTGTCAATTATGTAATGCCACAGTCAGCAATATTTCAATTACATAGTGACCAGTAAGTTGGTCAATTATGTAATGCCACAGTCAGCAATATTTCAATTACATAGTGACCAGTAAGTTGGTCAATTATGTAATGCCACAGTCAGCAATATTTCAATTACATAGTAACCAGTAAGTTGGTCAGTTATGTAATGCCACAGTCAGCAATATTTCAGTTACATAGTAACCAGTAAGTTGGTCAATTATGTAATGCCACAGTCAGCAATATTTCAATTACATAGTAACCAGTAAGTTGGTCAATTATGTAATGCCACAGTCAGCAATATTTCAATTACATAGTAACCAGTAAGTTGGTCAATTATGTAATGCCACAGTCAGCAATATTTCAGTTACATAGTAACCAGTAAGTCGGTCAATTATGTAATGCCACAGTCAGCAATATTTCAATTACATAGTAACCAGTAAGTTGGTCAATTATGTAATGCCACAGTCAGCAATATTTCAATTACATAGTGACCAGTAAGTTGGTCAATTATGTAATACCACAGTCAGCAATATTTCAATTACATAGTAACCAGTAAGTTTGTCAATTATGTAATGCCACAGTCAGCAATATTTCAATTACATAGTGACCAGTAAGTTGGTCAATTATGTAATGCCACAGTCAGCAATATTTCAATTACATAGTGACCAGTAAGTTGGTCAATTATGTAATGCCACAGTCAGCAATATTTCAATTACATAGTAACCAGTAAGTTGGTCAGTTATGTAATGCCACAGTCAGCAATATTTCAATTACATAGTGACCAGTATGTTGGTCAGTTATGTAATGCCACAGTGAGCAATATTTCAATTATATCATAGTGACCAGCAATAGTGGCATCCAGTCACAAGTCACATATGAAGAGACTAACTGTGTCTGTCCAAGCACTGGTCACACACAAAGTGACACGCCACGTCGCCAACATTTCCATGTTACTCACCTACATTCCTCTGTTCAAATTCCTGAATAAAACTTCCGATGTCAACAGGCATTGACAGCCTTGGTCCCTCAACCAGGTCCATGTCAGAGGTCAGGCTCTCCGTGTTGAGGTCAGAGGTCAGCAGTGAGGTCGAGGTCAAACTCTGCTGCTGTTGGCGCTCCATCTCCTTCTCAAGTTCGCCTGTGACGGGAATGACATCATTAACATTTCAGCAGCAAATATCACTGTGGTGAAAAATATAGTGGTCAGATAGATGACAGGCAATGAGCCGTTACATATAAGTTCACTTTTCTTTCAGTCAACTGAGCTAAGAATGTTCGCCAAAGAATCTTCATTTCCTGACCTGTGATTGCCTGTAGGTGTTGTCTGCCAAACATGTGCTCCTTCTTGTTGTGGACCGAACTGAAATACTGGTTACACACACGGCAGTACAGCTCGCTGATAGAGTCCTCCTGAAGACATTCAGTTTAGTACGTACATTTTGTTTGTTTGTTTGTTGTTTTACGCAGCACTCCGCAATATACCAGCTATATGACGGTGGTCTGTAAATAATCGAATCTGGACCAGACAATCCTGTGATTGATATCATAAGCATCGCTTTACGCAATTGGGATACGATGACATGCATCAAACAAGTCAGTGAGCCTGACCACCCGATCCCTTTAGTCGTCTCTTAAACAAGCATAGTCATGGCAAGCATGGGTTGCTGAAGACCTATTTTACCATGGTTCTTCACAGGTTGTGAAATGGTGAGTGAGTGAGTATGATTTTACATCGTTTTTACTTTTAGCGATATTCCAGTAATATCACGGTGGTGGAAACCAGAAATGGGCTCTATCATTATACCCAAATGGGGAATCGAACCCAGGCCTTTAGCATGATGAGCGAATGCTTTAACCACTAGGCTACCCCACCGCCCCATAACAGTGAGGAACATGATATTAATTAAGACACAAGTTTGGTAGAAACAGTACGATATTCAGATAAAAATAGTGACCACCTTAGTATACCGAAACACTTGAAAATGCATATTCAATTTTTTGTATTTTGTATTATTTTTGTATTTTATTTTGATAAAATGGCAACAAAAATCAAAATAGGTTGTTCTGTGTATTTAGGCACGAGATAATCAAACACGACAATGTCATGCAAGTTCATTTTTACTGCAAAAATTGTTTCTTGTCCTTCAAGTAAAAGCTGATTACATGTACGTGTTTTCATTGTTTGCCTGTGTATAAACACTATAGTGAAGAAGTCATGTCTTCTTCATCAAGAAACCCGTGAAGATCCGGGGTAGAACAGGTCTTTAGCAACCCATGCTTGCCGTATAAGACGACTATGCTTGTCGTAAGAGGCAACTAACGGGATCGGGTGGTCAGGCTCGTTGACTTGATTGATGCATGTCCCAATTGTGTGGATTGATGCTCATGATGTCAATTACTGGATTGTCTGGTCCAGACTCGATTATTTACAGACCGCCGTGATATAGCTGGAATATTGCTGAGTGCGGCTTTAAACAAAAAACAAACAAAAAATCTTTATCAAGAATATGAAAATAATAACATGCTGGCAACCACGATACAATGTAACAGTACTACATATTATGTCAAGAACAAGACGAAGGTTTCTTAGAGACACGAAGCACAGTGTGACACCATCACCTACCTCCACATCAATCAGCGAGGAGTAGGGGTCCCCTGCATCAAGGTGGGAGGAATCTTCCCCTGAAGACACAACACATACTTCTACAGTGTGAACATGGTTATGCTGAAAACAAACTGCAGCCATAGAAACTCTCCATACTCTGCTCGTCCAGGACTACCAAATACTGCTGAGGACTATCACACAGCTACTATGTCAGTAACATTAGGCATAAAAAAAAAAAAGAGTTTGCCACTAATGTGGCTATATCCATGATATCCCCCACCCCTGTTGCAGAATTTTTGACATAATCATCTCCATCTCCAAGTCCATCTTGTTGCCATGGAAACGTAAAAAATAAAAAAATTCTAAAATTTCTAAATAGCAAAAGGCACCAGTTCAGCATGTACCTGACAGACCTGCAAAGTTTCATGAAAAAATATTGAACGGTAAATGAGTTATGCTCCGGAAACGAACCCTACCCTCACAGAACCAAAGTCCATCTTGTTGCCATGGAAACGTAAAAAATAAAAATTTCTAAAATTTCTAAATAGCAAAAGGCACGATTTCAGCATGTACCTGACAAAAAATATTGAACAGTTTCTGAGTTATGCTCCGGAAACGAAATGTGACGGATGGATGTATGTACTGATGTACGTACATACGGGCGGGCGGACGGACGGACGGACGGCGGAGCCCGTTTCTAAATCCCCCGCGGGGGATAATAATAGTCTTGGTTCTCAAGCACCGCTTGCTGCATCATTAGGTCTGCTGCACATTTCATTCCATTTTCAAATTTTAAGAAAACAAACTAATACTTAAGACATTGCAATCCAATATAGCACACAGTTATTTCCCTCTATGTGCATACTGCTTTACTGTGCATCTCGTGTTATGGTCATGGCGGCAGTAGGAGTTTTTATGCTTGTTTCTGTAGGCAGGCCCTGTCCCAGGTTGATGGTACGCAACTATTTAATTGGTTACATACTAGTTTGAACAACCCCCAAAAAAAACAACACTGGTCGCCCGTCCGCACTATATTTTCAAAAGTCATTGCCTAAGAACCAATTCTTTTATTTTTTTAAGCCTTATGGATTATTTTGTAACAAAGGCTTCCTACACTGATTTGGGCAAGATCAAAAAGCAAGTCAGAGAGTCGACAATACTGACACTGTGACAATCCAGCTGAGCTGATTCAACAACCTGATTGATCCTGTGTATTAGCTATCTCAATCTGGGTGGACAAACTACACATTCTTTGGACTAGTGACTCCATTCTGCACTTGTCCTCATCATAAACTTGAATTTCTCAGGTTAACATTGGGCCTCATGTCACAATGAACCAGACAAACCAGTGATTGATATTATCAAAAATAATGACATGCAATCAACCAAGTCACCGAGCCTGGCCATTTTGTCCCCTTGACAAACATAAGTTACTGGAGACCTATTCTAACCCTGAAGCTCACCTGGGTTAGGTCTGATGATCGGCAGAAATAAAAACAATTGGAAACACAGGAACATCTTTTTTCTTAACTTAAACAAAAAGAGCATCCCATACAATTGTCATTGTGATTGACAGAAATAATTGATTTCTAGGCCCTGGTCAACAATACCTGAACCATGTACCTTGCTTTGAACATAACTCCAGCTTTATGTGGGAATGGTCAGCCATGACCCAGATCAAAGAGTTTTACCACCAGGGTTCACAATCAGAACCCCAGACTTGAACCCACAAACAGCGGATCCTGGTAGCTAAGTGACACAACTCTGCACTCTGAATTTTGAAGCCTTAGTCCATTCGGTCAGAATTCCAAAATGGTCACTAATCAAATAGTGACTGAGTGAGTGAGTTGGGTTTTACGACGCTTTTAGCAATATTCTAGCAATATGACGACAGGGGACACTAGAAATTGGCTCTATCATTATACCCATGTGGGGAATCAAACCCAGGACTTCAGTGTGATGAGCGAATGCCTTAACCACCCTTCTACCCCAGCGACCAACCAATCAAAGAACTATCCTACTAGCATCAATGGGATCTAATCTCCATTAAACTGCCCTTCAAGACAATTATTGTGTATGATTTGAAATTCAAACTGGAAAAGTATTAAAAAAACACACATGAATTTGGATATTCATGATATTAGTATACTTATCCTGACACAACACACCGTAATTCCCTGCTGGACTTCGATCCAATAACCTAAAACCCAAAACATGCCTCTTCCTTCTCGGGGGCGCCCCCAGCTATTGGTTACCAAATGGAGTTATCTGTCCCTAATCCCTTCGCTTATATCTCAATGTGCACAGTGATAGATGTGCACTTGAGACTGACTTCTTTATCCTTATTAATCGACCGCCTCCGTGGTCTAGTGGTACAGCGTCTGCCCGTAGAGAGCAAGGTCCGGGGTTCCATCCCCGGTTGCGTCATACCAAAAGACGTTAAAAGATGGTACTCGTTGTTACCCTGTCTGGCACTCGGCATTAAGGGGCTAAAACAAGGACTGGTCGGCTCGGAGTCAGTATACTGTGTCTGAGTGGGGTATTCATGTTAAACTGCGGCATGGTATCTCAGTGGGCTAGCACTATAAATCGGCATCAGTCCGGACTAGTACAAGCAGCCACACACACACACACGTGCATGCACGTCGCTATATAAGTGCAATAATCTTGGACGCGACGTTAAACCCAATTACACCTCACCTCACCTCCTTATTAACCCTAGCTCTCACATGAAAACATACCTGATACAACAAGACTCAGGCCCTCCCGTCTGCCCCACGTCTGACGTTCCAGCCAAGTGCAAAGGACAGAAAGTAACTCCGGTTGGTAACCAAGGGCTGGCAGTGCCCCAGAGGAGGAAGAGGCACGTTTGGGGTTTTGTGTTACAGGATCAAAGTCCAGGATTAGAAATAATCATAGCTTTCACATGAAAACATACCACAGAGAACCTTGAGCTTCTTCTTCTTGAGGAAGTTCTGGTAGGTATCGGACTGCTGGAAGACCTTCAGTTGTGTTATGTATCGCTGTTTGTCAGCCTCGGCCTCCGTGAGGTATTTCTGTGGAAACAAACAGCTTGTCACTGGGCTATTATATGATACATTTATACACCGCAGGTATCCAGGTACTAGTATCCGCTCAAATGCAGTTTTATTTGTTTCCCGACCAGTCTATCCGTTTGCATTCCAGTTATCATTCTCAACTCCCTTGGAAGTATACAACCCAAGCTGTCTAAGTGCGCTAGAGGGTTTTTACATCCACCTCACATATCGGGTACCCATTCCCTGCTGGGGGAACAGAGGCACATTTGAACTAAGTCACTTGCCCAGGGTGACACCACATGTTTGACACTTTTTGGTGCATATATTTATTCGTGTTCCCACCATCTTGTCATCTAACATCGGGTCTTTTGCGTGCACAGGGTGTATGTACTGTACACTAGGGGAAGTGACAACACTGTAATGACCTGTGAACATTGTTGGTCCTAAGGCTGAATAACAACCCACCGATCTAAGCGCTTTTGACCCGTATCCACTCTGCTACCAACTGTTCTGCTATATAATGTTTACACAGCAATAATGTAAGGAGTGATCAGGATCAGGGTAATATTATGTTACTTTGCCGCCACGGACAAAAGTGCAAAACAATTTTATTATCCTTAGTTACCAAAGCATGAATAAATGTCATCATAACATAGCACAGCCTTATTTGGTCATCCTGCTGGACAAGTACAAGCCCCAGAATTCACCACACTAGGAAAATCAGCACTCTTGTCAACTCCACTTACAAACTCACAAATTAATAGAAAGAAATGGTTCAGTGTTGCAGCCCCAGAACCGAGGAACAAGCTACCTCTGAGCAAAAAACTATGTTCAAGCCGAAAACTTTCTTCTACTTTGGTTATTTTCAAATCTCAGCCAAAATCTCATCTGGTTCAGGAGTATTGAGTGCGCTAACTGCTGCACTTCTGTTATCATGTGGATACTAAAATCCTCCTCAAATACAAAACTGCCCACTATGCTTTGGGAATGACTTTGCGGCAGCCATCTTAGTTTGGTTTAGGCTGGCAGTTAAGTGACAACATGTGTGAGTGCAGGAGGCATATTGTGGTAGCTGATGAATACAAGTGTATATGAAGAACCTGTGTCTGTCTATTTTAACACTTTCCGCATGTGCATGTGTATGGAAGCTTGCTCTTTAGAAGTTATCATCATCATCATCAATATTCCCAGTGCTAGTTTTCAACTGAATGTACCCCTACCTGTTTCTTCTCTGGGGACATGGAGGACCACTCCTGACCCAGGATCTTGGTAACGTCCGAGAACATAATCTCGGGGTGACTCTCCTTGATCTCTTGCCGTCGCTCGATGGCGTACAACACATACCTGCAAATACCAGGTCAAACTCAAACATTTCTCCAGCACGACTGATTCAGAATTATCATTCCTGTGATGTCAAAGGGCTTTTTTAATTACTATGTAAGACATGTAAGACCATGAAAGATGTTACAGTTTGAATGCTGAGAACATACAAATAGATAGGATACAGAAAGGCACCTTCAACGTGGACAAATACACTGGCGTTTCCCAACCTCCGGTGAGTGAGTGAGTGAGTAGGTGAGTGAGTAGGTGAGTGAGTGAGTGAGTGAGTGAGTGAGTGAGTGAGTGAGTGATCGAGTGAGTGAGTGAGTGAGTGAGTGAGTGAGTGAGTGAGTGAGTGAGTGAGTGGTTCCACATCTCGGCACAAGCCTTGGTAAAAGTTCTGTCACACAGGGAGCGAGCTGTGTGTGTGGCTGGTACAGTAGCATACTACATCTCTATCATGCTGTCTTTAAACATTTGGGCAAACTGTTTGTAAACAAGGTAAACAGTGAGAAGCTCACAAATATACTTCGACTCCAACATATTTTTAAGTTCAAAACATGAAAAAATCAGAAAATACATATCAAATTCAAACTTTGCACTGCACCTCTCCTATTAGTATATCAAGTGCTCCTTAAATTTCAAAAGAATCTATGTGGTAATTCTCAAGTTATAGGTCGCACACAAAATGTACTCGGATGGACTGACGGACGGACTGACAAACAGAGTGAATTCCTAAACATAACTATATACCCCTGCCCTTTTAGGTCGGGGGTATAAGCTGATCAGTGCCCAGCATAATTGTGGTCAGCAAGTCACACTGACCATCCAATCCCCTTTGTAGTTGTCTCTCACAACAACCATAACACGTGGTTCGCAGTGGAAGACTAAACTAAACTAAATATGAACTTACCTTGCAATCAACTAAACGTGAAATCCCCTTGTAATCAACTAAACGTGAAATCCCCTTGTAATCAACTAAAAGTGAAATCCCCTTGTAATGTAATGAACAATGAAAATGTAATTAGATAAAATGAAATGGATTTGAAACTTAAATTTAAGTGGCCGTTTGATTAGCGCATGTCAACAAGGTAAATGGGTAACTCTCTCAACTATTTCTATTCAATTTCTGTACTATTCTAGTTCACTATTTTGTAACTTAGAGAGAGATATCCATTTACTACTTGCACATAAGAACGTCAGAAACCAACTGAAATAAACTGTGTCTAGAGCATGCGCATTTTGCGCTCATCCAGCAAGAAGCACGTGCTGCATGCCAACTTTAACGCTTTCCGCGAAGCTGTTCTGTACCCATGAATCAACCACTGTGTCCAGGAACATGACACTTGTTCCCGGACACTTGTTCCCGGACGCTTCAGAACAACATGTACTTGGGACTTATTATGTCAGAACCTGAAGTTTAGATTTTGTCAAAACGCTCAGCACAATCACACATGTGCGACAATTTGATGTAAATGTCAAATTCTGTTAGTAGCCATTTCATTATGATCATGTAGGTTTTCCCACTTACAAGAAATGTCCACATGTTGCAAACCTACACCATGTTTACTCACCGTCAAAAGAAATGCAAACCATAGAAACGTAAGAAGTATGTACATTTCCAATGAAAAAACTAATAACAATCAGTCAAGTGTTACCATAGAGTGACTTTATTCTTATCACGATATGCTGCACATGATTTCCAAACTTTACACACTAATCCTGCACGAGACAAATGGTGTATCTCGAGACATGGATCAATGACATCACATGTGATGCGTTCATGAGCGTTGGTTCACGAACAAAACAGTATGTTCGTTTGTGCATCTAACCAATCTAATATCTCTTGAATATGAGTAATTCTTCATATATTAACCAACATGTACGTTATTCGTGTTACTTTTGGCAGTGAGTATATACTGTGATATTACAAATACCTACCCAGTCATTGGAGCTCTTGGGGCATTTATCTCAGGAACATTCTTACGTTTCTTCCCTTTGGGCCAACCCCCTTTTCTTTTCTGAAAGTAATTAGATAGAAACACATTAGGATTGCACTTACACATATTATAATGGAAGACCTCTTATTCAGAGAAATACTGTAAATCTTGTATTTAATGTGAGCATTAATTAACTTCGCTTTTATGTCTCCAAAATGACTATCAACAATATAAGGGCTTTACAGCACAATTTGGATAGCAGAAATACCAACTTGAATATATACACAAATACGGTTTATTGAGCAGCAGTTGTAACAAGTACATAACAATGGTTCAAAGAATAGGAATTACACAATGGGCATCCGGTGAGTCTTCACTGCTGGGGTCAAGAGTTCTACCCACTCGTGTCAAGCTTTTTGACACCTTCTCCACGTACAATCAGTGAACTGTTGTTGGTTCAATTATTTTATTGCCTTTGAACTTCTTTAAAGCCAGTCAACAGAGGCAGCATATAACTGTAGGTTGTTTTTAGGAAAACACTGTTTATTGTTTTTATGGAAGTGCTCTACTCAGTGCTAATAATCGGTGCTGTTTGCTGTTTGTCTACTGGGCATGGGGTTGGGGGGGAAGTATGAGTCGTATTAATATTGAGTCACATTTTTGGCTAGGGGTCAGCAGTCGTTTAATTTGAAGACACATTAGTTTCCAGATTTACAATTAATTAACGATACTGCATCATGGCCTTTAACATTGTCTTTATATGATGATACATAGAAATTAGATTGTTTTCTTTTGTTTTCTTTTGTCGGCAGTCAGAAAAAAAATTTACTTTGTTCAGGAAATATAGAAATAGAATTTGATTAATGTTTCAAATAGAAAATCAGATTTGTTCTTTTGTGTTGTTTTGTCAGCAGTCAGAAAGAAACCATTCGTTGCTCAGGAAACATAGAAATAGAATTTGATTAATGTTTCAAATTGAAAATCAGATTCTTTTCTTTTGTCAGCAGTCAAAAAGAAACCATGCATTGTTCAGGAAATATAGAAATAGAATTTGATTAATGTTTCAAATAGAAAATCAGATTGTTTTCTTTTGTGTTGTTTTGTCGGCAGTCAGAAAGACACCATGCATTGTTCAGGAAATATAGAAATAGAATTTGATTAATGTTTCAAATTGAAAGTGAACTACATGTTCTAGAGCATACCAACCTAGACAGTACAAAAGCTTGCATCTAGACAGTAAAAACATTCGCATCTATGAAATAATTTTGAATAGAATCTAATTTCTAAACCTTGGTTTCTTCATGTGTAGTGGTGACCGTGGTTGTTACCGTGGTGATGGGATGTTCCGTCTTGATGGCGACGTCAAGAGAGCCACTGACATCACCTGTGCAGTCCGGTGGGGAGTCAAACACATGGGAGGCCGACGCCCCGACCAACCCATCTTGTTGTACAGGGGTGAACTGGGTAACTGTGCAACACCATTCACAGCAAGTAAGAGAGGTGTAGGTGTCACATATACAGTATATGAACTCTGCTACAGTGAAGAATATGTTAAAAGTGCTAAGTCTCACTTCTCGTAACTTTGACATCAGGGGTTAAAAAAAATTCAGTCCCTAGTGAGTCAGGAAGGACTTATCATATTATTTCATGAGTCAAAACTAATTTCAAGCAAGTCCAGTTCCAAAGACGACAAGTTCAAAACAAAACTGCAACACAAGAAATGAATCACACGTAATCCCAAAACTAAACAAGCTCTTTTGACAGCCAGAAATATAAGTCTGCACGTAGGCAATGTTTTAGTAGTAAACTTGAAACGCTAATTACAACACATTTTGCGACATTTGACTGACAAACAGATCATTAAATGAGTAGTGAGTAATTTATCTTAACAAGTGTATCGTCTTGTATCGATACAGAAAAGAATGTATCCAGTATTGTATCATCACATGAAACCACATGATGCACCGGTGCACTGATGTATCGTTTCACCTCTACTATCGTATAGGATAACTATTTTTATATTATTTTATCATAAATATATTATTCCACATAACATTCACACTTTTCATTCAACCTCACTGGCGTACTGGTGAACACTGCAATAGGACATGCATCTGAGACAAACTGAGGCAGGAGCATCTTAGACGGAGTTAATTTAAAAAGGCCTTCTCATTGACTTAAAAATAGACTATACCTGCGTCTATAAAAATAATACTGAATAACTAAAGAAAACTCTCCATACCCAATATTAACTGTGATGTAAGCATGTATCTGGGGCTCTGTTGAAAAATAATAATTTAGGTTTATTTGACATGAGACAATTTTTCTGACAAAGTCTAACAAAGTGACTTACTCGTCCCTGGCAATGGCAGCAGATGACGTCCATGCTGATCTGTCGTCGTTGAGATGTTCCCCAGGGACACATTGCCGTCACCCACTGACAACATCAATCTGTCCAAACAAACATTTCAAAAGAACATACACTTGTTGTCACTACACCCAGGACAATCAGTACTCTATCTTGTCATGTAGTTTGTTGTAAGTTGTTTAACACTGTAATATTCCAGCTATGTGACGGCGACGTGTAAACAGCCAAGTCTGGACCAGACAATCCAGTGACTGATATTGTGAACAATGATCCCAGACGTCAGGTTACAGTGAGACGTCATGTTACAGTGACACGTCATCAACCAAGTAACTCAGTCTGACCACCCAATCCATTTGGTCACTTCTTACTAGTCTTAGAACTAAAAACGTAACATAGGTTGCTGGGGATGGAGGGTGTGGGGGGGGGAGATGGGGGATAATGATTACCTATTCTTAATTCAGGTGTGCTGACTTATCATGCTAATTGGTAATGAGGGTGTGAATTGGGAAAGGGGGGGGGGGGGGGATTGGGTGAGGATGTGAGGGGTAATGATTACCTATTCTTAATTCAGGTGCACTGACTTATCATTCCTCCAGGTAGAAGCAAGAAGTTACTCTTTGATTGCTAATTACTGCTTTGATTCTTGTGTAATCAACACAGGAAGCAACTCAGACAATGACATAATGCACGTGTGTATTGGTCTGTAAGATTGGCCATGTTCTCCAGTGTTATCAACTGTTATCCACAAGTCTTTATCCTAAGTCAAATAACCTGTCTTTTGTTCAATTACTTCAACTAATAACAGACCATATGCTGATATGTGCGTATGTACTAGTAAATATAGTGGGGACTATATTCAGCAGGGATAACAGTATTGCTTTATGCTAAATAGCTAATTTAATTTTCAAATTTTTGTATTTAATGAAAAACACTTGGAATATTGAGATGAACATTTAAATCTATACTTGTAACAGTTGTATTGTAGCCATGTATGGAAGAAGGGCAAAGATATTAGTCAGTTGCCAACTTAGAACAAGCAAACAGCTAGTGAGTGGAAATTTGTTACTTTTATTACTGTTAATAGGTTTCCTCCTACGTGTGATGATTATGTGTTATACTGTTCCCATTACTTGATGAGTGCTGAAGAAAGAGTACTTGTAGTGACTCCCATATCTACGTGTCTACACAGGAGATTATTAGAACTGGCAGGCAGGTGACAGGCATGACAGAAGCAATGTACCACACGAACCATAAACATCGCTGTGAGTGAACATTGTTTGTTTGTTGTTTAACGATGCACTCAGCAATATTACACCTATATGGGGGCGGTCTGCTAATAATTGAGTCTGGACCAGACAATCCAGTGATTGACATCATGAGCATCGATTCACGCAATTGGGATACAATGTCATGCATCAACCAAGTCAGAGAGCCTGACCACCCGATCCCATTACTTGGTCTTACGACAAGCATAGTCGCCTTGGGTTGCTGAAGAACTATTCTAACCAGATCTTCACGGGTATGTCATTAAAGTGAGCAGCTTACCCCCTCGGAGTCTCCACAAGGACCGCTGTGTCGGGCATGAGCGAGGATGACAGGGACACCGAGATGTCATTCTTGTCCGAATCTGTGGCATCCGTTCCAAATGTGATACCAAGACCAACATCTGTTCCATTCAACACAGGGAAGGAGCTGCTTGAGATGACAGCCTGGACTGAGGACGGCATGATGTCTCCATGGTCCATCATACAGATTGGTATCCTTCTTTCCAAACTTCTTGTTAGCCTTTAGTTTTACCAGCCCTGCTATTTGTGCATGATATGCATGGTTGAATGCGTTGTATTTATTCACAGCTAGATCTTCCAAGAGATTCCATTAAAGACTTCATCTTCAGAGGTGTTATCAATTTGCACAAGTCTGATTAATGATGCATCCACAAAGACTGTTTGGTGTGACAACAGGTGCGTGTGCTCTCATAGACAAAACTTCATTTTTTCAAATGCACTTGTCAGACTCTTTTTAATGAGCCTGCCGTTTACTTAAACCTCACAAAACGGGACAAAAGGCTTTCTGTTCTTCAAAACATACATACTTTCGTCACAGCCCCTTCCATCAAACTTTCTCAAGTGAAGCGGAAGTTGAACTGAAAGTAGTGGAGGTGGGAATGTTATTTCCGGTTACTCGACAAGGGACACAACTGTAAATAAACAGCATGATTTCCTCGTTGTACTGTATGTATTTACACTGAAAGTAAGGCGTCTTTGGCCGTCTAATTAAGTATGCAATGTGAGACGAGGGGTTGTTACAATGCATTTATTGTAGGTGTTAATCTTTTTGTATTAATAATTTTATATCCCAATTCACAGAACGCGTAGCAATACATTTCGCACATTATTGTCAGAGTCTGCATGTTATTACATCGAACTGACCAAAAACATTCTTAATCAAATACTCGTCAAGTATTAGAACGTAAATACATTTTCTATGTATATTTATTACTATCTACAAAATAGTTGTAATATAATTTTTAGATAAATATGTTATCTAGTCTGTTTTTGTTAAGAAAACGAAAACGAATTAGGATGTTTATCTAATATGACTGTTCCATGTAGCACCAGAGAAGCGCTGGTAAAATATAACAGATGGTCTCTGTTTACAAAGTGTTGTTTACCAACTATCCACGTGGCAGTGGCCTTCACCTTGACCCGCGCACCTGTCAGGTGCCTCGCGCTCGCTTACCGACATTTTAATCGTCCCGCAACAGGAGGTGACGACCGCTTAGAGCATGAAAGCTGTGCAGTCGTAATTCTAGACCACGGTAAAGCTTTTAGGCTGAATCAACTAAATCAAATGATCGTTGTGCTTGGATAGTATGCTAGTGTGCTCACCGTTACTTTATTAATTTTTTTCATTTATGTAGGCGTCTAGAAGAGTTTCATTCCCCTTGTAAAATTGTACAACAGTATATAACAAAACTATAAATTAAACCTGTCACTGATAGAGGTTAGAGGTGATTATAGTTTGTCACGTATACAGTGTTCATACATACATTTAGACATACATTTATATATATATTTACACGTATTAACAGTTATGGTAACAAGCTTCTTGAACATTTTAAACGCCAAGTGTTAAAAATGCACGAATCAGCAATATTACTTAAGATTAACAACCAACAATCCACAATTGACAGAATCAAATACAGTGAATTTATACAGAAAATGTTTCCGCAAGTAGTCGTAAAGGTAGTTATTGGTATGTAGGTATTTATGGGTTACAGGTTTGGCCAATTTTTCTTCGAGCGAAAGTTTGTTTCTGAAGGGGCTGGCTACCACTAAAAGAGAGACGAATTTTTATTAAAAAAACTTACGACAGTACACAAAATAATAATGACCTAATGTCCCTCATACCCGAATGACACAACCAGCTGCTTCATATTATAACCTACGTAACAAACATTACGTAACTCTTCCTTTTGCCAGAACAAGACTTTTTCAAAAGTCATTTATTATATAGACTCATTAAAACAGTGGAATTCGCAAGATGAAAATGTTAAAAATAGTACTTATATGGATGAATTTAAAACCAAAATTTACCCAAATGTTATTAGATCTCCATTTTATTTTACTTATGGAAAGCGTGAAATTAATATTATACACACAAGACTTAGACATATAGTAGCAATCTAAATGATGATTTATTTAGGGTTAATTTGTCGGACACAATTTCTTGCTTTTGCGGTTTCACATATGAAAAAGCTTTTCACAATTTTCTGGAATTAAAGAAAATATAATTTAATAAGACAATCTTTATTCATCAGCATTATGAATAAAGGGGTCCAGCCCAATTCAGAAACAATTCTATGTGGTAACAAAAATCTATCCAAAGAACACAATAATTCCATTTTTAAATATGTCCATCAGCTTATAGTGGAAACCAACAAAAAATAATTTATCTAAATTTAACAAAAATTATCTGTCACTTGCTATTTCTTTTTTGTATCTTGTTTTAAATGTGACTTGCACGTGTATGCATGTATGAATGTGCATGTATGTATAATTGTATGTGTGTAATACTGTATATATGTACGTGCGTACGTATGTATATGTGTGTGTTATTCGCATTATTTGTATATAATTTTTCTGCACTGTACGTATGTTCTGCCTTAAGCAACCCATGGTTGCCATAAGAGGCGACTAACGGGATCGGATGGTCAGGTTCGCTGACTTGGTTGATGCATGTCATCGTATCCCAATTGCGTGGATCGATGCTCATGATGTCAATCACTGGTTTATCTGGTCCAGACTTGATTATTTACAGACAGCCGTCATACAGCTGGAATATTGCTGAGTTCGGCGATAAACAACAAAAGAACAAGCAAACAAAAACATATGTTCATTTTTCACATATGACAATGTAATGATGTAGAAGAAGGCCTCGTAAGTAAGTGCCGAATCCATGTTATTTTTCGCAATAAAATATGTTTAAGTCATGGGTCTCACCAGTATTATCCCTTCATTCCTATTCCCTGTTACTAATCTCTCCTGCTGCAAGGCTAGCACAGAAACAGCGCGCCAACTTGTCCTTCGCATTTTTGTGACATGCACCGCGATTAGTATTTTTTTGGTTAATTCTTAAAACGTAAGTATCAGGCGAATCAACATGACACGGCTATGAGATGCACCACTGTTTGTTTGTTTGTTGTTTAACGCCGCACTCAGCAATATGCCAGCTATGTGACGGCGGTCAGTAAATAATCGAGTTTGGACCAGACTATCCAGTGATTGACATCATGAGCAAAGATCCACGCAGCTGGGATACGATGACATGCATCAGCCAAGTCAGCGAGCCTGACCACCCGATCCCGTTAGTCGCCTAGCCTCTTACGATAAGCATAGTCGCCTTTTACAGCAAGCATGGGTTGCTAAGACCTATTCTACCCTGGATCTTCACGGGTCAGATGCACAACTGCCTAATGCACGGACGTCATGGTACGTAAACACAATAGGTAACTGGAGACGATAACAATACATGATCAACACCCGTAACATTAATAATTTATCCGTAAATGAATGGAACGAGGTTTGTATCTCATGATCTGTTGATTAGGATTTTGTTTCTATCGAGCCGTGGGCAAACGATTTGATTAATACAAAACCAGCTCACTTTGCACCACATGTTGGCTGATAGCCAAATATCCATAGCAATGATGAACATAGATAGATATAGGTTGCTTAATATAACGCCATGTGTTCTAGATCGGCAGTTTGGTATTGATGTTTCCACAATCTGTTACTCAGTTGCTTGGGACGGTCAACTTTTCGAGGACACATTGTGAACAAATGAATTGATGGTGATTGAATTAGTGGGTAGACCAAAAAAACGTGCATAAAGGAAAACATTTCTTGTTTACGACTCTATTAACCAACGGTATTATAAATAATTACTAATGAAAAAATACCCCCCCCCCCAAAAAAAAAAAAACAAAAAAACAAAACAAACACACACACCAAAAAACAAACACACACCAAAAAACAAAAAAAACAACCCTAAAATTAAATAGAAGCTGCCAATTAGGCAGTCAAACATTGCTGATTCGCCAGAAATAACATCAGAAGTCCTACAAGGGCCCGAGCGTCAGGACGATTGGTGTTTACCGGTTCGTTCGGCGTTCTTTTCCGATAACAAAAGCAGTGTCAGATTTCCCGACACAAATACGTATGACACAACCATACGAACTAGATACAAGCGGACACCGCCAGGCACGTGTACACACAATCTGGAAGGAAATCTTCGAGGAGGCCAAAATGTCACATCCACCCCTGTGAAACATCCTAAGTGCGGTGCACACGAAAAACCCTTACTCTGCACAAAATACTAAGCTGCGAGATGAAGCATGCCTGTTGACACTTTGAACACATACTTTCTTCAGAGCAGTTATTATCAAAATACCAGGTTAGATATCAGCTATTAGATAAATAGACAATTCCGTTTATTTTACAGACCTTCAAACTGAGGTGAGGTGAAATGGGGTCGCGTCCAAGATTATTGCACTTATATAGCGACGTGCATGTACGTGTGTGTGTTTGTGTGGCTGCTTGTACTAGTCCGGACTGATGCCGATTTAGTGCTAGCTCACTGATATACCATTCCGCAGTTTAACATCAATACCCCACTCAGACACAGTATACTGACTCCGAGCCGACCAGTCCTTGTTTTAGCCCCTTAATGCCGAGCGCCAGACAGGGTAACAACAAGTACCATCTTTTAACGTCTTTTTGTATGACGCGGCCGGGGATCGAACCCCGGACCTTCCGCTCTCCGGGCTGACGCTCTACCACTAGACCACGGAGGCGGTCCCTTCAAACTGACATACTATAAGAGTTAATCTTTGTTTCGTTTGGAGTGAGTGAGTGAGTTAAAATCTAATGTCACATCGACACTATTTCAGTCATATCGTGACGAGAAGTTATAAATTAATAGAACATTTCTTTTAGATAATCTAATAAACCTGTCATCGATGGACAGTAGACTAACTAGAATATCACAGATTCGATTTGAAACGACTTGAGAACCTATAAAATAATAAATTATCAGTAAACAACACAATATAAACACGGGCTATAGATCGACAGCAAATGCATGAAGGTCGTTCACCATTTAAGGGACCATGGGGACTTTCAGTATACCTTTGCTACCTGAATGGACCCTAGCAGGATTTACATGCGCTCGACATTAAGTGGCTGAACAAGGACTGATTGGCTCAGAGTCCGTATTCTATGTCTGAGTGGGGCATTCATGTCAAACTGCGGCATGGTATCTCAGTGCGCAAGCACTATAAAATCGGCATTAGTCCGGACTAGTACAAGCACACACACACACACACACACACACACACACACACTACGCCATATAAGTACAATAATCTTGAACGCGAAGTTGAACCCCATATCACCTCACCTCACCCCAAATACACATATGTATGCAGGGTTTTATCTTAACCTACATAAAATGGGAACCCCATGATTAATTTCAACTATGAGGGTCCTGTAAAGTAAAAAATGAGGTAGTGTCCTGTACTGTAAGATTTGATATTTTCAGTACATTTATATATTTCTTGTCAAGAATTGGACACAATGAAT